ACCTTGCGACTGCAGACTGGAGCCTGGGGAGGGGCAGGCCTGCCGGCACCCATGGGAGCAGAGCCCTCGCCCGGCGGGGTGAGCAGGACCAGGACACGGCCACAGTCCACGAGATTTCCAGGGGTGGGGCTGGTTCCCGATCTCAGTCTTATTTTTAACTTATTTGAATAAAAATACCTCTCACGTGACTTACTGGTGATTGCAGTTTCTTCCCTTGCTGCCTCCATGGGGTGCACTCGCTTGTTCTCCAACACAGAGTTGTCAGGATCCTCCCCCCGTTAGTTTCTAACGCAGAAATGATGCGGTCCAGAAAGTCCTGCCTCATCTTTTCCCCCGACTTAACACAACCACCCTCCCATCTGTACCTTGCGTGCTGTGGAGACATCCCAACTCTTCCTAAAGATCCTAAAGCACCGTCCAGTCACCACCTCGATCCTCAAAAGGCTGGAGGAGATGATGGTGAGGGTCAGAAATGATGTTTTCATCTCACTCTGGCTTGCTGTCCTCCTGTGCCACAGCCTGATGGAGAAAATCCATCTCAGCCTGGCTGGTGGAGCTCTGGCAGGTAAACCTCCACCCTGCCAGGCTGGCCAGAGGATGGACGGACGGACAGACAGACAGGTAGGGGCTGATGGCTGTCGGGAAGTGCAATTCTGTGCACAGAGAGGAGAAGCTCAGGGAGAAAATTGAGCAAACTTGGGGCAGACCCAAGAAAAGAGGCAGAAATAGAGGCTGAGGAGGCTGAGCTCTGCCTGCCAGATGGTTTTATGAGCTTCCCCTGCTACCAGAGCCATAATATTTACATAACCCCTAACTTTTACATGGCTAAAGCCAAGTGAGCAGCATCGATTTACCTCTCCTTGGGAAAAAAGAAAGAAATAAACGTTTTCCTGAAATCCTAAGTCACCTCTTTGCCCTCTGCCTGCGCTCCTGTTTGTGCACAGGTCCGATTTCTCAGCTCCCTGATGCTCGTAGCAGCGCGCTCTCGGAAACGGCGTGTTTGAAGGTCAAGCGTCGTGGTGAGGTTGTGGTAAGCGAGCGGCAAATCTAGAGCCGAGTCAGAAATGAAAGTTTTGCAGCGACGCCGAGCTCGTAGCGCAGGGTCCAAATGACACATCCCTGGAACGAAAGAAGGAGAGTTCAGCCAGTTCAAAGATAAGAATATTTTGGGATCGGGTTTGCTTTAAAATGAAATGAAAGAGGAAGCTGACAGGGAGACAATCTGCCTTTCCGGTAGGTCTGGTTTCTGAGACTCTTTTTTGTTAGTCATTTCCTGTACAAGCCAAGAGGAGATGAGAACCCTGATGCTGTCGAACGGGATGCAAGAGTTCCTGCGTGCAAGATCTCTTGAGAATGTGACCTGCTTGGCTAACACCGAGAAAAACGGTTTGTGAAAGACCTGAAAAAGGTCCCATGTGGGATGCTGCCCGGGCTCACCGACAGCAGTTTTCCAGGTGATAATTTTGGGAAACTTCACGAAGATCTCATCACAAGGGAGTGTGAGGTGATGTGAGTCTGCAGTGTGTCTGCTCCAGTGAATTTCTCCCGGCTGTGAGAGGAAAGAAGGTCAGATTCTGGGTCAGATTCAAGTGTTTCTTGGTGTTTGTTGGGATTTGTTTGCTTGTTTGTTTGTTTGTTTTTTTCTCCCAGCCTAATCAGTGCCTCCTCTCAGCAGTTTTCTACCTGTTGGCTGATTTGCACCAAATCAGCCTGGGGAGTAGCGCTCTCTAGGATATTAAGACCTATAAATATTGTGGAAAAAAGGCTGTAGGGGAATACTGAAATGAGTCTCCCACTGAAGGAACCCAGCAGCTTAGTAACATCAAGTACAATACCGGACACCTGAGAGTCCCTACCAGATCCACCCCCAAACCCACTTGCTCTTTGACATCTCCAAGGACAAGATTTTTGGCTTGATATTTCCCCCCTCCAGATCTGTCCTGTCCGAAGCCAGGAAGGAGGCATCTCCTTGGCTTTTGCTCCACCTTTTCACACGCTCTTGTGCCAGAGGTGTCGTACCCATCTCCCCACAGCCTGTCTCCCTCGTTCCTCTCCGTGCTCCTCCACGTTGAAGCTGGGACAAGGCTGCAAAGATCTGAAAAGCCTGGTTTGGGGGTCGGCAGGGTTGCTAACACGTCTCTGTTTGGTTTCTTCCCTCCAGCTGCATGAGGGAGAAGGAGAAGGAGCAGACGTTTCATGATGATCCCGTCGTTCCCTGCCACGGAAAGTGCCAGCCCTGCTTTCTGGAGCTGGCCCGAGGGGTCGGTGTATAACAGGAGCTGGCATCCAAAGCTGGTGAAGCACGAGGACAATCTCTACGACTGGAACGACTGCGAAGGTGGTTGCTGGAGGCAAGTCCCCATCACGCTGCTCATCTGCCTCTGCGGGCTGGTGGGGAACGGGGCCGTCCTCTGGCTCCTCAACGCCCGTGCCCACAGGAACCCCATCACCATCTACGTCCTAAGCCTGGCTGCCGCCGACTTCACCTTCCTCCTCTCCATCGCCGTCGCCCTTGTGATATTTTACGGCCCGGAGAACCTGTGTCACAGGCTGGGCTCATGACACGTGACGACCGTGTTGAACATCATCATCCTCTTCGCTTTCACCGCCAGCGTCTACCTCCTGGCAGCCCTCAGCGCCGCGGCGTCTCTCTCCGTTCTCCTGCCATCCCGCTGTCCCTGCCGCCGCTCCCCGAGTTCCCCGGTGCTCGTGTGTGCCCTTCTCTGGGCCCTCTCCTTCCTCCTCATCCTGACCCTCTACTTCATCCCCGCGGCACTCACCGTCTTCCTCCTGAGCTACGTCTTGTCGGTGCTCACCCTCTTTTTTTCCGGTCTAGCCCTGCTCGCCAGGGTCTTGTGCTGCTTGTGGCAACACCCCCCGAGGCAGCTCTGCGTGGTCGTCCTGCTACCTATCATCTTCTTCCCTTTCCTCACGGTTCATTTTGGTTACTGGCTCTTGCTAAGACTGTTTGATTTTTCCATTTTTGTCTTTGACAACTCCCTGCCGCTCGCCTGCGCGAACAGCGGCATCAACCCTCTGATTTATTTCTTGGCTGGGAGCTGCGCGAAGAAGTTCACGCTCTCCCTCAGGGTTGCTTTCCAGAGGGCTTTTGAAGATGTAACAGAGCCTCAAAACAGAGGTGAAACTCCCAGAGAAAACACAGTGGAAACAGCTGTTTAAACCTCTGCAGCCCTTCCCTGAGAGAAGATGCTCCGGGGATGTGAACCGAGGAAGGCGGTTTCAGCACAGCCACGGAATTAGCAGAGTGGACACTGGGCAGCGTGATGAAATCCTCCTCAAAACCTTTTTGCTTCGAAACCTTCCCTTTGAATCTGTCCTGCCCAACAGGTCTGAGATCACCCTGTCTCAGAAATGAGCTTGCAATTGATTGTGAATTCTTTAAATGTTTTTTTTTAAAAATTATTATTTTAATTTAAAAGCAAATGGAAACAGAGCCATGGAAGCGCTGAGCTCTTGATTTTACTTTTATGTGCCTGCTTAAAAGTAGTGCACAGGTGGATGAGAAAGCTTGGCACAACAGGACAAAATTCCTGGGCAAAACCAGCGGGTGCCGACACGTGGAGGCTTCGCTCTTGGCTTTGCTGCCCGGCAAGCAGCCGTGTGTTTGGGATCACTCCTGGAAAGCTTTTCCCCAAAACGCGTTGCCTCTGCTGCAAACTCAGTTGTGTCCCCACACCACGTGGGCTGTCAGGACATGAGGGTTTGTGACTGGAACTGCCTCTCGCGGTTCCTCCTGCTTTCCCGCGGGCTGTCGGGGTGGTTAGCTCAAGAAAACGTCGTTTCGCAACCCCGACCTGAGGTCTGTGTCCATTTCTGTTCCTCATCTAAGAAAAAACAAGGGGAGTAGGATTAAAACAAAACCACCTAAAAACCACAGCCCTGCCCGCAAGACTGAATTTTTCCATGTGAAAGAGGATACAGGGAGAGGGAAGGAAAACAACGGACTTTTAATGAAAAGAGCCTGTGGAGGTTGGTGGGGAGGGATGGAGGAAGAGCAGGCGTCACCAAGAGCTGCTGCTGAGCAGAAGTTTCTCTGCCCTTTGGCTTGTCCCTCAGGCCAGAGCTAAGTGTCACCAGACAGGTTGGAATGAGAAGGGGTCTCTCGGTGCAGGACAGCTACAGAGCCATGATAACCAAACCAGTAAAACTCTCTGGTGAAGCCAAGAAACTCAGGTGGGTGGTGGCCTGTGTCATCCTGCAGACAAGGGAGGTCTTGGGAAGCAGGAAAAGCACACGGGAGGATCGTTGTCCCTCTGCACCTCCTTTGGGAGACACTCCTTGGATGATGGGAGCCCATTCCTGGGCTGTAACTCAGAAAGTTTGGACTTTCTGAATGTCAGGAAAATGGGAGAAACAGAGAAAAAAATGCTTTAAGCTATGGAAGACTCCTGTTCTATTAATCAGCTATTAATATATGCTCCTTAGATATTTAATCTCATGATGTACCTTCAAAGCATGACCCTTGGGCTATTCTTTAGTTTCTCTTTGTAAAAGCAGTAGCATGTTACAGTGTCACCGTGTCCCCTCTCAGGCCTTGTGCCTCCTCTCCACTTTTCCCAGCAGTCTCCCAGTCGATGGGATGCTTTGAGGTCCCTTCCTTCTGGTCTTTCCTCTGCCCTTCCAACCTCTGTCTCAGCCCTCCATCACCTCACAAGGAGATGCTCTCCTGGTGTTCTCAGATGAATCTTTCGGCACGTGTGGGCAGCTCCACTGCTGTGATTTGGCTCAGCTGGAGGCTTCTTCAAGCGAGACACATCTCTGCTAACTGCAAACATCCCAGAGTGGTGTCATCTGCTGCTCAGCTCCCTGCCTGAATGAACGAGGAGGTCTTGGCACTGTCGTCAGATGGCTCATCCCAACTATGACAGGTCCCAGGTATGTAGAAAAAGATCAGTACAACCAGGATTTTGGAGCGTATGGTTAGACAGCAGGGCAGAGGAGCTGCTCAGCAACTCCCGAGGCTGGACAGGTTAAGGATGAAGGCAGTGAAGGGCTTGCTCTTGATCTTGAAGCTGGGGAACCAATGCTCCTAATTTCCATAAAACTAAGTGGCCCATACCTCTGTCGATGTCCTGGAGGGACTGAGAGGAACAGGGCTGGAACAGATTCCCTTTTCCCTTGCAGGGACACTTACTGTGCTGTCGGGTCCCTGAGAGACCCCAGCAAGGAGGTGACAACCTCTGGGATACGCTGTCTTATCAGCCGGATGTAGCCTGTTGCAACAAGCCGTGTTCTCCTGGAGCACAGCTGGAAAGCAGCACCTTGAGCGAACTCCTTCGCCTGGACATGAGTGCTGGGAACTTGTTGCTTGTAAATCCCCCGGCACTCTTGAACCCATATTTTTCTCAGAATGGTTTGAAGAATTTCTTTACTAAAAGGGTTGTCAGCCATTGGAACAGGCTGCCCAGGGAGGGGGTTGAGTCACCGTCCCTGGAAGTGTTTAAGAGACAGGTGGATGTTGTGCTGGGGGACATGGGTCAGTGGTGTTGATAGGGCTGGGACAAAGGATTGACTTGGTCTTGAAGGTCTCTTCCAGACGAAACTGTTCTATGATTCTATGATTCTGTGATTCTGTGATTCTAAGATTCTATGATCCTGAGATTCTATGATTCTGTGATTCTAAGATTCTATGATTCTATGATTCTGGGATTCTATGATCCTGGGATTCTATGATCCTGTGGTTCTATGATTATGTGATTCTATGATTCTATGATTCCATGATTCTATGATTCTGGGATTCTATTATTCTGGGATTCTATGATCCTGTGATTCTATGATCCTGAGATTCTAAGATCCTGAGATTCTATGATTCTGTGATTCTATGATTCTGTGATTCTA